GTATGTAAATTGCACATACATGTAATGCATATATTTTTCTTTTTAAGAAAAGATAAAATTACTTGATTCATTGGCCTTAAATTTCTTACAATAGCCTGACACTTATCGTTCCATCGCGATCAGTAAGAATACAAGATTTTCATTCGTCTTGTGCTTGACATTTTTAAAATTCATAAAAAGTTTCTTGCTAGAAGACAAGACCTGGACAAAATGGTAAGTTACATCTTTTATCTGTAATAAATGAAGTAACATATATGGACTACGCAGGTACCGTTTGGAAAGTTGGCAGAACAGCTAAAAAATTTTGTAAGTTACCCTAAAACTGACCTCAGGAGTCTTCTATTAATTGGAGGACTTACTGCATATCGTTCAGTTAAATGATGATTTTGTTCAAATGCGTGAACTTTATCGGATTTCATTATGTAAATCACATCATCTGTGTCTAATAAAATAATATTAAATTTTGTTTGCAGTGGACAGTGGTAAAGGTATGATTCTTAATTTTCAGTGAGACATGACACAAAAATAAAACTAAAAATAATTTAATAACCAACGTATTATACTTATTATCACTGTAAACGGTAGCGAAAAAATTTCCGAAATATCTTCTCTGGGCGTCAACTGGGATGATCTTCCACTATGTGGATCTAGCAAGCATAAAAATAAGTATAAGAATTTACTTGTCACATCCACAATAATTTAATCACGCCTTGACAATAAATATTACCTCCGACAGAATAGCCCAATTTTCACTTTCACTGTGTACAGTCAACCGTAGTATTAATACTTTCCCTAGCTTTCGATCTACCGTACCCTGAGCAATCCCAAGTGCATCAAATTTACCTGATTATAAAAAGTTTTCAAGTTAAAGAATATATTCTGTTAATTGTATAAAAATTTTATATAGTACCTATAATAATGTATCCATCCTCGGTAATGTCATTACTATTTCTGTTTAAGGATGCAGATAGGTCGGTAAAAACTTCTACTGTAGTATTATAAAACCTATCGGATGGATGTTCGGGATTTCCACTTCTAAATAAGTACCTGCATTTATACAAATAATAGTAACATTTTTAATTACTCTTTACTTTAAGTATTGTGCATCTCACCTTTTTATAAAAATAGGGTGAGAAAATTTGAATTTCAGATGGTCTCCTGGCTGCGGTAAAAGACCCCAAAAGAATGATTCACCTTTGTAAGCCTTTTGTAATGTATATTGCTTGTATGGTTTAATTTGTGTCTCTACTGTTGCTTCCGGATTTTCATGTGCGTAATACAATGTTATCTTCCCAAATTGTTTATCCTGAATATGACATTTAAATTGTATGATCAGAGATTGATACGGATATGTACCATACTGAATGCTTACTAATATACCTTTAGTTTCTGTACTTTTCCTTTTAATGAAGAGTGTGTTCCTATGTGTTGAAATAGAGAGGGTTTGTAATGAACCCATAATTCTGCTTTAGCCCTCTTACAATGTTTCTAAAGAAAACGTAGATAATCATTAAGTAAATTCCGGAAGTGCTTTTAATTCATTTTTAAGTGAATACTTACGCTGTCTTTATCGAGACTGCAAACTTTAGTCGACACCAAATGATCTAATAACCAATCAACTGGTTTGTCGTTATGAAACATTAAAAAAAATTGGATCAACCATGGCAGTTCTGCGCACTTAAATAACTTCCCTAAAAAAATATGAATGTATAAAAAATGGAAGTTAAACGTTCAGTTATACCACATTAATATCACATACCAATAAATCCCAACTGACAAAAATCCAAGACGAACCAATTTTCTTTAGTTGCAATTTTTTTCAATGCAAAAGATTTCATTGTAGTTATAAAATTCTTCTTAGCTAAAATATCATCTTCTAATTGTACATAAAATGTTCCTTTCGTCTGGGCGTACGACATAAGAAATGCAAAATCTAAATTCTGTTTCGACCTCCAAACTACTCTTTGATGGTCGTCTCCTAATGTATCACGCAATTTAGACAAATCTGGGTAGTACGACGGTGAAGGAGATATCACCTCGATTACTCCAGTCTCAAATTCTGTTGGGAATCTAAAATGAATAAGCAATAAAAAGTATAAGTCTCTCAATCATACAATTACTTTTCTAACTATACTTACTGAACTTCAATTTGCTTTGCAACATACGTCACGTATTCTAGATCCGTCTGTAAAAAATGATAGTGATAATTATATAAGTAACAATTATATTTTTTTCACGACGATTTTATTATATAGTTTAAAGGTGCTTACTTCAGCAATGAACACAATGATTAATGTGTCCGCTGTTTCTACAGGATTCATGCGATCCAGTAAATTTTTAAGTGTGGCCATTAAATAACTCTGTACTTCTCTTTTCACTGTCGGTACACCTAACACCACGCTAACTCCGGTACGTCCTTTACTTTGAACAAATGCTGGACGTAGACTATTGGGATCATTTAAAAAATGTGGAAGAAAATTGTATATAGAAGGCAATTTTATATTGGTCACATTTGATGTTGTATTGTTAAGTAAAAACTGCAGATCTGGCAGAATATGATTGTTCTCCATTAATTGTAACAACTGGTGTGACAACAGACTGATCTCTTCTTGACTTGTAACATATTTAGTATGCAAGTGTTCTAATTTAGCTTGCAGCTCTGCAATGTTGTTCTGCAGGATAGTTTCTTCGTGTAATTCTGATGGCGGTAAGAGATTTAAAATAACACACGGTATTAATACTATCGACAATATGATCAAACATCTCCTTCTCATAGGTGTTAAAGCTACAAAATGAGGCGTCATCTTCTTTATACTAAATTCTACATGATTATAGCCATAATCTTGTGGAGTAGAAGCAAATTGTGAATGATATCACATTACATGTTCACAGCATGAGGAACCTAAAATATATCGATATAATTAAGCATTATGAAGATTCTATAAACAAATTAAACAATATAGTAAAATATAGTTACAGTTTAGAATGAAATAAATGAACGTTTACCAAAATGAATTATAATAGAGTAGAAACAAATCTCAGTCGTTCCAAAACGGTTGAAAAAGAAGATTGGAATGAATTGTAACTACTGTACGCTATGTGTCATTTGTTTTTCGAACATTAATATTTACCGTAAATAATCTTAAGTCCTTCGGGTAATGATATAGCTGAATTTGTAAGGTTGAACATTTAACGCATATCATTATCGATTATAATAATGTATACATTTTAGGCCGGTAGTTTCTGTCAACAAGAAACAGAATTATTTTGTTCTTTTGAACAATGACATGTGGTGTATATGGCAACACACGAAAACTAACTTTTTCCAGACGCTTTACTTCGTTCAAGAAAACGTTCGGTACTTCATTTCTTTTATAAAATGTGCGAAAATCCCGTGATAGATTATCTTACAGGATATCGCTCACGGACAAAAAGTTCGATGCGATAAGTTAATCGCGTCACTTGATTTTATCATCTTCCGTTTGACGTAGCCGTATTGTATGCGTATTTTTATACTACGATTGTGAAAATTATTGTATCACAGAGGACATCCCCTGTGATAGTTTTATTACATTAATCCTACTCTAAGTATTTATGGCATAACCTACAGAAGTAGGCAATAAACCACCAAATACTACCAAATAGGGTAACAGCGCCGACGGTAGCGATGTATATAAATTTTTAATACAGCTGTTCAAATATACATTAGCAAACTAAAAAAAGAACTGAAAAAGAGCACTCTCCAAATGTATTTACAACTATATTCTCAAACTGATTTGAAATTAAAGGAAAAACTTGTATAGTTGTGTAATTATAATGATCTCGAATTTAAAATACAGGGATTCCCATATTATTGCATAATAGCTGATAAAAATTATTTCGGGATACAGTTACGATATCGCATAATATCTATATACATTCCTTTTATTAAGACAGAAATTTAAAATAATAAGATATATATTTACATTGTCACGATTTTCGTTTTTTATTCGATAAAAATTTTGGAATAAAAATACGTAACAATCACCTGCCGAAGTTTTTGAATTTCAAATAGTAATGGAATTATAAAATGACTCTCATTATTTACGTCGCTGCATTACTATCTTAACCTGCGGATATTGTATTCATGTTTCTTTCACGTGGCTAACGCACTACTAACATATGCGTTTTTGAATATACCTACAAGGTTAACTCTGTGTCATGCATCGATTATTAAAAATATAATAGCTACTTAAACATACCAAGTATCTTTTGAATTATAATTTATAAACAAGATGACAGTAAGTTGTTTACAATACTAATTAAATAATTATTGAATATCATTTTTGGTTCAGTTGTTCAATCACTTTGCATGTTTAATGATTTCCATATGATTTACAATGCTGATATTACGTCGAA